AGAGAGAGAGAAAGAGAATTTCAATATTTTTTATTTTTCAGTTTTCAGCGGACACAACATCTTTGTTTGTATGTGGTGCTGAGGATTGAACCCGGGCCGCACGCATGCCAGGCGAGCACGCTACCGCTTGAGCCACATCCCCAGTCCACTGATCGTTTCTTTTGCTGAGAAGAAACTTTTTGGTTTGAATCCATCCCATTTATTGATTCTTAATTTTAATTTTTGTGCTACAGGAGTCTTATTAAGAAAGTTGGGGCCTAATCCAACATGATGGAGATGTGGGCCTACCTATTTTTTCTTCTCTTAGGCACAGTGTCTCTGGTTTAATTCCTAGGTCCTTGATCCACTTTGAGTTTTGTGCATGGTAGAAAGATAGGGTTTTAATTTCATTTTGTTGCATATGGATTTCCAGTTTTCCCAGCACCATTTGTTGAAGAGGCTATTTTTTCTCCAATGTATGTTTTTGGCACCTTTGTCTAATATAAATAACTGTAGTTATGTGGGTTTGTCTCTGTGTCCTCTATTCTGTACCATTGGTCTACCAGTCTATTTTGGTGCCAATACCATACTGTTTTTTTTACTATTGTTCTGTAGCATAGTTTAAGGTCTGGTATGCCATCTACTTCACTCTTCTTGCTAAGGATTGCTTTAGCTATTCTGGGTCTCTTATTTTTCCAGATGAATTTCATGACTTTTTTTTCTAATCCTATGAGGAATGTCATTAGGATTTTTATTAGAATTGCCATACTACCAAAAGCACTATATAGATTTAATGCAATTCCAATCAAAATCCCAATAGCGTTCCTTGGGTTTTCATGTTTTAGCTTACATTCCACTGCAAGACTAATTCTTCCATAAGTCTAATTTTAATACAGTATTTCCCTGATATAAAAGTATTATAGTGTTACATAAGACAATGTATGAATATCTTAATGTAAATATTAAAGTGTCTCTTTTAAAAGCTCCAAGTTGGCTTTCAAACATATTATTTTATTCTTCAATATGAACCATTTATTGCCAAATATACCCACCTCCTCATTACCATGTAGTCATCCCACTAAATTCTCAGTTCATCTAATCCCCTTGTGCAAAGCCTTTCTCTTCAGCTTAACCAAATTTACACATCCTTTTAGGCCTGAGTAAAATTATAACTTCTCTGCAAAATTTTTCTTAACTATCTCATATCACACTAATGCCTATGCTTTCTCTACCTTCTACTGTCTTTTTATTTGGTATCTTACAACTCAATAGTCATTAGTTTCTTGGTGTTTCCATGTCTATTTTCCTTGACTAATTATGTTGGAACTCAGCCACACCTTGCATTTCCTCAGTGATTCATTCCAACAAGGCCTCCACCAAGGGAGTAAATACTATGTGATGGATTTTGTATAAGTAATATGCTATTATTAGTAATTATAACTTAATATTATGGTTTGTCCATTATTATTTGATGAGGAAATTAAATAGATTTTCATACAATTTGATTAAAAAAAGATCAGGTTCTACAATTAAATAAGTTGTGTTCAAATGAATTCCATAAGGTCACAATCTGTGATACAAGTGGAAAACAATCTGTGTTTTTATATAGCCTTTCAAATAATTCATTACAGAAGTTAAAATAGAAACTATTTTTAAAAATTTATCATTTTAATATTACACCTGAAAATTTAAAATTGTTATGGACACAAACCGAGTAGTGTTGAATATATTATAAACACTTATGGCTAAATGTATACACAGGAGTCAATTAATTTAATCTAAAAATCAATTTATGTGAAGTTAGATCTCTGCTTATTGAAAATGTTCCTTTAATTATACAATAATCTGCAAATATGAATGTGACTTAAAGCATAATTCTTTCTGGAACTAAAAACTTCCACCAGAATGATGAACAGTTTAAGTATTTTAATGCTGGAACTACTTTTCCCTAAGAAAAGTTTGTAAAATGATTTAATACACTCAAAACAGGAAATTATTAAATACTTTCTATGAATTAAATATAGGATACCAAAAAAGTGGGAAATTTGATTAATACATAAAAACTCTAAATTATGTGTCACATTTTTTAATGCATCTCAAACTAAGAATAGGCATAGTCTGAAAAACCAACCTCAAAAAGACAATTTTTATCCCAAACTTATGCACAGGTAAATCTTCTTTGTAAACTGTTCTGAATTTACAAGTGGAAGGAAGTATTTTTTAAATGATGTAATTTATAGGTCATTAGATCAGCAACATTAAACTCTAGTAATGATGACAACCTATAAATCCTCATTATTTGACTCAGGAAAAGATCCAACCCAGATTGCCTCCTCTAAAATCCTTTCTATTGCTGTAGTTGCCTCACTGATGTGTAAACAATTGGCTATTTAAAAATCCCTTAAAGAGATGACAACTGAGATAAATACCCTAAATCTTAAATTTATCATTTCTTTGGGGTAAAACATTTATATTCATAGAGGAGTAGCCTGATTCAAAGATTGACAGTCCAAGTGTGTTAGTACCAAGATGCCCAGGAGCTTTATTTCACTTCTTTGATAAGAGTCATAAAATATTACATCTGGTCAACTGCTGCCAGGTTAGGGCTAAATAAATGGGGGGAAAAATAACAGAATTTGATGCACTTTTTTTTTTTTTTTTTTTGAAACCACACAACGAATGGGCACATAAAAGGAAGACCTTCAGGGAGTCTGATGAGATTTTGTTTTTAACCACAAAGTAAAATTTTTTTAAATTTACCAAAAACAAAAAGAGCTAAGAAATTTTTTCCTTAAGCTAAAAAAAATCTAGTTTGACTATCAGAATATTACCTTTCTGTGATACTAGAGATCCTTAGGAATAAAACTCATACACATTTTTAGAAGGCCTAAGTAAGGTCCTGTCTAGACACTGAGGAAGTAGAAAGATAATGTTAGGAAGTCTCTCAAAAGTCCCAAAAATGTAAAACTGACCTGGCCTGTCGGCAGAGATGAAGGTACCTTATTAAAATATATGACACCAACAATGTGCTGGGAATAAAAGGTCTATTTTAGGAATATCTTATACTTCATAGAAATAAAGCACAAAATAAGACAGAACATAAAATAAATCCTATTGGAAATGTTAAAAGCATAACCAGTATTTCAAACTGCTTTAAATGAAAAAAATAATTGTGCTATATACTCTATCATGAAGATTCTTGAGTTGAATAAATTTAATATTGAGGTATATCCTTCTCTAACATACCACCTACACATAAACTTGCTATTAAATTGAAAGGCAATGATGTCTGTTTAAAAGGATTGTCTATTGGGATATTCCACTGCATATTTTAAGATGCCTGACATGTTCCAACTTACCTGTGTAGTGGTAAGGGTGGAGACCATGAGACACACCCCTTACTATAGGTGGCAGGCTTGCCCTCCAGTCAAATAATTCTGAGCCTGTTTTTAAAGTGAGTAATGGCATAAAGAACTGTATTTTTGAATTGTACTAAGTCTGAAACTTTCTGGAGTACATTTTGTATTCAAGATCTAAAGTCTGATTAAAACATTTTTATGCAAAACTTGTGATTTTAAGACAATCCCATCTTTTTGAATAGTATTCTGAAAAGAATTTAAGAAGTATTATGTTTCTAAAAATATTAATTCAGCCTTGTAAATATTTTCTGGAAATATATGTCATTGAGGAGATAACAAATAGTTATATACCTCCATGACTAAAGGTAGACTGGTTTAGACAAAAAAGTGTCTAAAAAAATAAAATCCACTAAAACAATGGTCTCTTTAAAGGCAGATTAAGATATGTTTTATAATTACTATAAATTTGATGTTTTGTAGATTTATGGATAGAAACAACATGGACCTAAACTGCAAACAAGAATGTTTACACATGAAATAAATTATACTGTAGATAAAAATTTAAATTAACACAGGATATTTAATCCCATAAATAAATTAAAATTATTAGTAGTAATGATGCAACTTCAATTTATGGATGATTGATAATTATTCTTTTTTATCACAAGCAAGTAAAATTTTTTATCCAAATGGTATTTTTTAAAGCCTTTCAGCATAGCTAAGGTATCTGTTCATTATTTTGGGATCAATGTACACTGATATGTCCTGATTATGCTCTAAATCTAAGCCCACTGACACATCTTCTATAGGACCTAACAGGGCTGTGCAATAGAACTTTCTGTGGTGAAATGTTCTATATGTCTGCATTGTCTAATATGATAACATGTGGCTACTGAGCACTTAAAATGTTGGTTGTGCAACTGAGGAACTAAATTTAAATTTTTCTTAATTATTCAAATAGTAGAATAAGGGTAGAGTAAAATAAGTAGATAAGTAATAATAAGTAGAATATGGCTTACCATATTAAACAGTGCAAGTTAGAGGATTCAAAAACTAAGACTGAATATGTTGTTATATTATGACTCACTCTAATTTGCTTACTGATTTCCATAAGCATAATATTCACAAATGCTTAGAGTGTAATACTGAAAAAAAAAAAAAAAAGCTTTTATACCCTGGTCTCTTCTTCATTAAAAAATATAATTAGGGCTGGTGTTGTGGTTCAGTGGCAGTGCGCTCGCCCAGCAAGCGCAAAGCCCTGGGTTCAATCCTCAGCACCACATACAAACAAATAAAGGTATTATGTCCAACTACAACTAATATATATATATATATATATATATATATATATATATATATATACACACATATATATGTATATATATAATATTAAATGCTAGTAAATATCTAATACAGTATTCAGACAAACAAACAAAAATACTATCTGAAAAAATTTTTATTAGTGTGTAATAGTATGTCAGTAAAACTACACTGATTAATGAAGTAGCTAGTGATCTGTGTCAATCTGTCTAACTAGAATTCAAACAATGAAATATTAACTCCTAAAAAGTTTTTGTCCAATCATAACACAAGAATACCAATTACTACATAGTTTTCAGCTCCACTGGTGACACATTGCAAAAACTTGTCAAACTATCTTACCTGACAGACAGATTTGTTCTTCCATTTGCTCAGCACACACTGACTGTTTTGCATCAGTTCCTGAAGAACAACAGAAAAAGAGAGAGTGCAGTTGGCCATACACATTGTCATTATCAGTTAAAGTGCTTCTGATTTTCAGCCCCCCCCCCCAAAAAAAGTCAACATGCCACACAAAGATGCAACTGTTTTGGAACTTCTCACTGGACAAAAGCAAAGCTATCATCACCATGAGAGTTGATCCTTTATGAAAATTAAAGCTGTTGAAAGATGTTTTAAAACAGATTTGTTTATTGCCATTTTTGAAACTTTGTGAAAGATACCTCTAACTCTTTGAGCGAATCGCGAAGTTTTTCTGGGCGTCTATTTTTGAGCGTCCAAGGATAATCTCGTGCTGGCAAATAAAACATACTACAGTTAGTTAAACATGATTTTAAAAAGAAAACTCTGCTTAGCAGTGTGCTTTAGGAAGATTAAAATAAAACACCTCCATAACTGAGAGGAAGTGGCCTTCATTTCTATCATCAAATGACAGCCTTTTAAAGGGCTTTGTCATAGGAACAGGATTTTTACCACAAAGCAATCTCCCTGATGATAATTTTATGATGACAACCAACAAGACTTAAGAGAATCCCTGGGAAAGTTTGCTAGGTCTGTGAATCTAGTAGTATTTAATAGTAAATGACCCACTATTTACCACTGAAGTAACCTTTTCATGTAAATAAGTAAATATCTGAAAGAAATTCCAAATCGTTCAGGTGGCCTACTCAGATCTGAAAACTATTATGAGTAAATAAATGCAGGAAGAAAATAAATAAAATTTCAAAATAACAGATGAATGAATTTAAATGAGAGGAATTCAAATTTAAACAAATTTGACACTAAATAATACTTTTTAAAATAATCTTTTTGAAAATCTACACAGCAATTCAATAATGATATGCCTCTGTTTGTTTCAAATAAATGTAACTGAAAGATTAGATTATTTGTAGAGTCACAATATTAACCAAAGACAAATTAAAACTAGTTCTGTTTAAAAATATAAAATTGGAATGTGGGTGTAGCTCAGTGCTAAAGTGCTTGCCTAGCATGTGCCAGGCCCTGGATTCAATCCCCAGTACCATAATAAAATAAAATGTTAAACTAATTATATATATTTCATTAAAAAATGAATTCAGTTTTGGATTCTCCTAATTAATAATTCTAAGAATTGTATACATGAGTGTACATATGTGTATATTGTGTTGCGTATACATTTTTCAGGTTCTTCTATAACATTTTCTCAACACATAGAGTACATAGATATTGAAAGCAGAGAGTAGAATTGTTATGTATTTTATTTCAGCAAATTAATTTGGCTCTATAAACACAATTTTGATGTGTAAAGCATATGTTCAAATTTTTAAATCTGTGTTTCAGGTACTAATACAGTATTTTAAAACTGAATGTCAGTTCAACCATTTAAAACAAAAGAATAAGTGAAATTTTCAGTTCTAACTATATCCAAATAAGATCTTAAATTATATTTAACTTATAAAAACCATATCATACTGTAGTTATATTATGTATGTGTATATATATTTATTCATATACATATATATATACAACATATTTACATATTAAACCAGCAAAGACTAAATGAAATGCTAATACTGATGTTATAAATCTTACATTCTTAAAATGGCTAAAGAATGTTAACAATTTATGCAAACTATGAATAATTAAATGTTATCAGAATTTAAGTATGGTACACATATTTTAAATATATTAATTTAAATATAATTCATTAAGAAAATTTATGTTTATAAAATTGGATTTCAATGATCTAAATTAGAAAAGCCTAACAAATATAATTCTTACTCATAATTTTATGTATCTAAGCAATGAAAACTTATAAGAAATTTGGACAGAATAACATTTCCGATTTGTGCAGAAAGCAGAATACTTTGTAATACTGAATTATCCAGTTTTATAATTCCAAAAATATATAAAGTAAGCTTACACTCTGCCAGTTTCTGCTTTTCTTCTAAGTTACCATGCTCTGTCGCTGATATTCAAGGCAGAGGAAAGATAAAAAGAAGAAAAGACATGGAATTTATTTTTATTATAATATATAGTATTTTAATATGTACATATATAATGGATTATTACATGTATTATAAGATTAATAAATTGTGCTAAACTTAAAAAAAAAGATAGTTGAGGAAAATGCTACAATTTGAATGTTTTCATCCATAGTGATATTTCCTAAATTTGCAGTGAAAAGGCTTACGTAGCACAACAGGTGGGCCAATATCCTGAGTTTCCAATCTCATCAGATAGGGAAAGGAACTGCAACAGAGCCCAGAAGAGAAGCTGCAACAGTCTGTCATCAGAACCATGAAGTCAGCCTATTAACCACCATGGTAAGCACACAGGATGCTCACACAAGCCCTACTTCAACGGAGAACAGAACAGGAAGTAACTCTAGCAGGGAGACCTTTTGGCTCAACATAAAACTTCTGGGATTAACAGGATTAATCAGATAAAGAAAATTGATCATTCACTCAGAAATGCCTATTTCAGATATCAGGTGAGGATCCGGGAGGCCAGCATCAGTGGGACCCATGCTTTAACAATGCCCTCTACTGGGACACCAATAACTAAATGTGAATAGACTGTCCTGTTATCAGCCTGATCAGCAGTAAAATGAAAATTTTCAGGTTCTTCTATAACATTTTCTCAATATAGCTTTATAGTATATAGGCCAGAGAGATATCAACCACAGCATTTTCCCAAAGAACTGAAGTGACTTTTCTTAAAATTCTAGAATTTATCTAAAGCTCACAAAAACAGTTTTTAATGGTCAGTATTTCATTGCTTTGAATTTTTAGTTTATAAAAATTAGCTGAGTAGAATAGGTACTTTACCTGGCAGATCTTTCTTGTCATAATACTGGTAGACTCCAATATCTCTATCTATAGAAAGGAAGAAGTAACAGTAAATTATGGTAAAAAGTTCTGGAGAATAAGAAGCCAAACCATACTATGCTGGAGGGAAGGGTGGGGAAGCAGAAACAGTCTCCTTATGTTACTAGAAATAAAATAGCTCAAAAGCATCTGGACATGGGTTCATCTATTCTAGGGATATGCAGAAACTGGAAAGTTTATCAATCTAATAAGAAAAAATTTACACAAAACTAGAATGGCATGAGGAAAAGATTAGTAAAGAAGTGAAATCAAGGAAGACCAAGTTTTCTCTTTCACACTTCCTCTGATATTTTTCACAGGGCGCTACCAAAAGGAACTGCCACTAAGCAATGCCAAATGAAATCAGTGGATGGAAGAAAATGCCCTAGCTGTTGGATTCCGAGCTGTGGCTTGCTTTTCTCCAATTTAGCTCAAGAGTCTAGTTTCCATCTACAGCATTTGGGAAGAAATCTGCAGGAAAGAAAGGGAGGATTACAGGGAGGTATGGATAAATTATTATCTGAAACTTGTTTAGATTCAGAAAGCTTCCAAACTCATTCAAATTCAGATACTCTGCTGTGGTTAGGTAAGAAGCAAAGCTAGGCTTCCCAGATGTTGACATTGATTTAACCAAGTAATCTGTTCTTGCAATTTAAATACAGGAGTACAGAATAATTTTGTCCATTTTCACCATATCTATGAATAATGAAATATTTCTTTCATTGAAGTAACATTTGTTTTCTTCCATGTGAAATAATTCTCAGTTACTACCATAAGGAGGATACAACTGTCTCTGAAGAAGTGGAAGCAGTACAGGCTGCCCCCTAGTGACTGACTGCTCCCAACTTTCCTGAACTGAATGATAAAAGTATTACTGCTATAATTAACTCTTCAAATACAGTTTTTCAAAAGAGTCAATCATGTATATTTATTGAAGCTCTATTTTACTCATGCCATTATTTAAGAATACAGTTTTAAAGAATATAGTTAGATTGGAAATACGTGCTGAGGATTGATTGGGAGAAGTCATAAGCTGGGCTTTTTGAATACTGATAAAATTTTTATACTTTCACCTGACAGTGGTGATTTTATCAGTGCACTTGCTTTTTGACAGTTCACAACATATGCTTATGATATGTACACTTTTAAGTACGGATGCTATACTTCAATGAAAGTCTGTTGTTGTTGCTTAAAGGTAAGAACTATGGATACTATATATGTAGCCAATATCCTCTATTAAAATATACCAACTTATAATCAATCGTTCCATCATTCTATACATTTAAATATCTACTACACCTCTACACTAGAGCTATAAATAAAATAAGGAAACCTGAATTCTGTGCGTAAGTCTGACCTACCACATCTGGCCAGAGTGGGATTGTCAAAGGGTAAGCAAGACAAGGAGGCATCCTCATAATGAGAACTTTACCACCAGAGGTGCTAGAATACCCCTGGTGGAATGAAGAAGGTGTCCATGCAATAGTCAGCCTAACATAGTGTATCAGAACCCTTGTAGAGTATGAAGGACATTTACATGGGGCAATGATGTTGGGTGGTATATCAGAAGCTGAAGAAGTTAGTTAGATTAATATATGGGCAGCCCAGTATGGTGGGTCAAAACTCACATGGGATCAAAGGATAACTGCAGGGGAGGAAGTGGCCACAGAAATAGGAGATTGACTGTATATAGGGTGATTGATTAATAAATCAAAGAAATGGGAGCTCCAGGTTTCTGTCTGAAAAGAATAAATATGAAAACTTAAAAAATTAAAATGAAATTTTTAATAATAATTTGAGATACCAATGCAAACTCATGGTTTTCAATATATAGAGATAAATAGAGAAATGAATGTAGATGTAAACATGGATACATACATACATACACTGTTTCCTAAGCTCTGCCCACTGGAGGATATGGGAGCAACAATTCAAAAGCAATGAGGGTACCTAAGTATCCCTTGGCTGCTAATACCCTTCTTCTTTAAAAGGAACCAAGCTTCTTAAAGAAGTAACTGATTCCAAAACTAAGCAAAGGAAAGTACAATATAAGCCTGAAATGAAAGTGCCATCATATTGACAGGGTTGTGTCAAAAAGACAACAGAAGCCGTCTTGAAAGTGGTCCCTCTAAGCACACGAGAGACAATTTAAACAACATAATAAATAATGACAGTGATGGATTGTAACCACCAAATAAAATAGGAAACTTGAGTCCCTAGAGATAAATAGAAATTAAATATATTTAAAGTTTGATGAGGAACATGATACTTATGTAATTTTAAGATACCTCCTTAAAAAATAATTATTAATTACAAAGGAGAAAGTAACATTGCAGTAGAGAAGCCTAGCAGACAGCCTAATATCAGGTCTGCAACTTTATCTCAAATGGTTCTAGGGAAAAGATTCTCTGTACTGACAATTTTTAAGTTTGTGATTATTTCTTTTTCTTTTTTTGGTAATATTAGAGATTGAACCCAAGGGTGCTCTACCTCTAAACTACATCCCCAGTCCTTTTTATTTTACTTTTAAGACAAGATCTCAATAAGTTGCTGAACTGGGCTTAAACATCCAATCCCCCTGCCTTAGCCTACCAAATCATTGGGATTACAGGCATGCACCGCCATGCTCAGCTCAAAAACAATTTTAAATTCTTCAAATGTCTAGCCTAATGAGAGCATGTTAACAGGGCTTCTTAGTTTAGATGGCAGAAAATGCTTCTAAGTAACATATGAAAGCTGAACCCTAAAGAAGCAGTAGGATTTTTCATGGGTTCAAAGAAAAGAATGTTCTTACAGAAAGAATGGATAGGCCCTGCTAAGGAACCAGGTGGAGCTGGGCATAGTGGTTCATGCCTGTAATCCCAGTGACTCAGGAGTCTAAGGCAGATTCAAGGCCAGCCTCAACAACTTGGCAAGACCCCTCCCTGTCTTAACATAAAAATAAAAAAGGCTGGAGACATAGCTCAGTGGTAAAGCACCCCTTCAAACAAAGATCCAGGTGGGGCTGAAAACCACTATTTCCCCCATAAGGCCACTACACATTCACTGCCTCGGAGTAGAAATGGCAGGGAAGAAGTCTGTGGGACAAGAAAGAGAAGACCTGAAGGAATCAAGATGGAATAGATCAGATTTCCAAATATGGGGTCCAAGATGGGTAGGATAAGTAAAGGAAGGCCTGTTGGACTAGGAGAATTCAAGAGATTAAAAGATAAATAGTCTCAAAGAAGCACAAAACCTAGATATATAAGGGTAAGGAAATGAGAAAGATGAAAAAAATAAGCAATTATGATCAGAGAAAAAAATTCTTTAATTAAAGATTCTGACCAGCATTGAAGTAAGCTCTCTTTGTGGTGTTTGTTGTTGTTGTTGTCGTTTGTATGTGTATGTGTTTTATTTTTTGATATAACTTCTTTAATTTTTTTTGGGGGGGTGAGGGGTGTCAGGGGTTGAACTCAGGAGAAATTGGCCACTGAGCCACATCCCTGCCTATTTTGTATTTTATTTAGAGTCAGGGTCTCACTGAGTTGCTTAGAGCCTCACTGTTGCTGAGGCTGACTTTCAACTCACAATCCTCCTGTCTTAGCCTCTGGAGCCACTGAGATTACAGGCATGCACCACCATGCCCAGCCTCTATTATGTTTTTGAGCTTTAAATTTTTTCCTGCTATGCTTTATTTATTTGTTGTTGTTATATACATCTTTTCATTTTTTAAAAAAATTTAATTGGTTCATTATAGTTATATATAAAAATGGAATTCACTGTGATATGTTCATACATGCGCATAACAGCTTGGTTAATTTCATTCTGATGTTCATTTTTAATCTCTAAGAAATTAGTATAACTTTCAATGTTTTCTGAAGCGTCTATATTTGTTTCTTGCTTCATGGATTCAATCTTTCATTAGGTCTTTGTTGTACTTTCTTTTCTCTTCCTACATTATCTTTGTTTCTTAAAACATCCTTTCATCTTTGTGTTTTCTTTTGTTTCCTGTTAAATCATTCCTCAAATATCTGATGATTCTTAGCTCTCTGTTAATATTTCCAATTGAGGCACTAGAAAACTAACTAGACATAAGCAGGGCTTGCCAAAGGGGTATGGTGGGAGTTTCACTGATTAGCCAGGGACCAGGGTATTTCAATGGGAGACCCCCTCAAATATCAGAGTAGATAGATTTTTCTCTCCAGGGTGATGCAGTCAAGCTGAAGAGAAATTTCTAAAGCTCCTTCTTTCTTGCAAAATGTATAACTGGGTGACATTCTAAAAACCAAGGAGGATTAAGAGGACGACCTCACCCATCAGCATGTAGGTTTCCATTTTATCCCTGTTTTTAGTTTAATAGTTCTGCTTCCACTGACTCTGATGTCCCCAACTTTATAGCCTCCTCAATTAAATACTTCCACAGTATGAGAGATGTCTACCTGCTTCTTACACTGAAGCTCATGTCGCTTTGTTGCCACCCTCATGACACATCACCATCATCTGCAGTACCTGGCTACTCAAATTTCTGTACTTTCAAGAGTTCTGAGACACAAAGAAATTGTCAGTGGAATTTTCCTCAGTAGGCAATTGATATTCAGATTTTTCAACTCTGCTAACTCCCATTCCATCCATCTTTCAAAAATTATCCAAATGCAGTTGGCCCCTTTCTTATTCTCTTAATCCTAATGGGTTTATATCTCCTTTATTTTAATTTATTTACTCTCATGTTAGAAGAAAGAAAATTTTTGTTAAATTTTTGTTTACCTGGAAGTTCTAACCTCACACATTTTAAGGAGGATAAACATACTGAAAATATTAACAAACAATACTTTGCAAGGTAAACCATTTTCTTAGTAATGATATAAAAGGTGTATAAGTAAAAATGTCCTAAATACAAAAGTTGTGTTGGATAATACATTAAGAAAGGATTTTTTAAAAAGATATTTTCTAGGGGGTAGGGTATGGCTCAGTGGTAGAGTGCTTGCCTAGTGAGGCACTGGGCTCAATTCTCAGCACTGGAAAGAAAGAAAAAAAGGAAGGAAGGAAGGAAGGAAGGGCCATCAACATCTAAAAAAATTAAATTTAAATTTTTAAAAAAGATGTATTATAGGATATATTTCTATAATACTAAGCATTATTAAAACAATTATATTACTCCCTCTCAAGAAATCTGAAATGCAAAGAATATAAAAATAATTGCACATCTAGATATTTTAAATGTCACTTTAATATCAAATAGAAATATCTTTACCATTAGCTAGCCTGCAAATATTTATGATTATAAATCAGTTATTATGGATTGGGGTTGTATGTCGCTCAGCGGTAGAGCGCTTGCCCAGCATGTGCAAGGCCCTGGGTTCGATCCTCAGCACCACATAAAAATAAATAAAGATATAAATATATAAATAAAGCAGTTATTAGGAAGAAACACAGGCGGAAAAGTGAGCTTGTCTTAAGAGGAAACAAATACTAAGACAATAAAATTTATTTTCAAAACTGAAAAATGAATTCAACTGAAAAAATAAGTTAATAAAAGCAATTAAAAGGAATTAATTTTTATTACCCAATTTTTCATTAAGGATAAAGAAAAGAATGCAACCCCAGCTGGAGAGTCCAGGCTTTAACCCTTACTATGCTTATTTATAATGGTGCAACACACTTGAAAAATACTGAAATTGATTCAGAGATCATTTACCCCCAATGTGTAAGGTATTCTTCAAAGACCACAGGTGCAGTTCAGTCAAGCAGAAAGACATCTGATGGCAGAAGGAATCTTTGTCCTGTTTTAAAAATAATTAAAAAGAGATGCCAATTAATTATCTTTTCTTGCCAATAAAACCAAAATCCCTGAGAAATAGTAAAAAAAAAAAAAATCAATTGCAAGTAGTGGTATTTGAGATATGGTGCATTAGAATAAATATATTTGGTTAACCATTCAGAAATAAACTGTAGACAAAGGAAAAATATACTTTTTTTCCCCTGGATAAGTCATCACATTGAGAAACATGACAAGAAAAATATATATGTATTTAGGTTTTCAATAGCATATGTTTGGTTAAGACTGAGTATATTTGGAATTATTTAATATTTGGACATTTTTTAAGTTACAATTTTAAGGAAAAAAAAATCTGTTAGGTAGTTATTAAGTACAAGCACATTTTGTGGTACATTTTTAATATGTAAAGCAAATATTTAAGATTTACCACACACAAACAGGCTAATTAAAGTGGAATTTACAAGGTAAATGGTATATAGTTACCATTATATGAAACACAATTACTTAAAAGTAAACTGTGTGAAACCACATTAGCATTTGTATTAGTTTGCTAATCTGCATGGCATGATGGATCCAGTCTATTCTAACTGCATTTAAAACAAAAACCAGATCATGAAAATGTACATCCTATATTTCATACCTTTTAATAGCAGGAGCTAGTGACAGACACTATGAATACTTTTTTTTTGTTTTTTAATCAAGTAGAACCATATCAATTTGGACTGACTGGGAGAAGGTCAGTCTAAATGCGGGGTGGGGAGAGTCAACATTTTACAATTTTTTAAAAAAAGTTTCAAATGTTTGCTTGGAAATTCATATGGTACTATATGTATCCTATGTTATATATTAAACTATAGACAGTATTTAAACTATGAACATTCTGTACAGAAATCATAAAATAAATGTTCTTCCAGCAAATTTCCGGATAACAAAAGACACTTGAAAAATATTTTAACATATCTTTTAATGGAAGAAAACACCTCAGCTTCTTTAACATTAGGAGTAACTAAAAATATTTCCCATACTATTCATATAGATGCTAATCTAAAACAATTTTAGACATAGTACAAACTTCCTTGGTCTTCCTTCACCTTTACAGAACCTCACTGCACTTAAAATTATCAAGAAACAGATGTATTCAACTAAGAAGACGCAGCATGCTAAGAACTGAAAAGGCAAAGTGAAAAATGTAGCAGCATAAAAGAAGGACCCAATCATGCCTAAACAGCAGGATTGTAAGAAAGCTACAGAGAAGTTTTAAAATGTTAGTGGTTCTTTAAAGAAGGAATTTATCAGTTAATGATGACAACAATGAGGTTAACAAAGACAGATAATTCTAAAAATTTGTTCTAAACATTTTATATGTATTAACTCATTTAACCCTCATAGCTACTCTTTGAGGTAGTACCATCATTATTTCTATAATATGGAAATTGAAGCACAGAAAGATCATATAGCCAGCAGGAGGTGTAGGCAGGTTTTGAATCTATGCAACTAGCACCCTGTATGAGGCTGTGTGGCAACTCTAGTGCTCTGCTGTACTGGCGTACAGAGGAGTGGGAGGGAGCACAGATGACAGTGTAAGTGAAAGGATGGCATGTACCACAGATGATGGTAGATCTAGGTGCATGGTGAAAAGTGAACAAAAGATGAAGTTGGAAAGGGTAAGAAGAAAACAGGCTATCCTAATAATAGTAAATTTGAGGTTGATCTAAATCCACTCTCCTACATTAAAATGCCTTTAAAAATTTGATCAAACAAAGGACCCCCAATCTCCTACTCTGCTGTAACAAAATGCTAGCTGTCACAATATATAGATGAATGAATAAGTACTAAGTACAACAGGTGGTTAATGAAGGGAAAACATCCATATGTGGAGATGTTTCTATACAAGAGAAGATATTTGAATTAAATCATGCAAATGAATTAGCACGTCATTGTGAATAAAGAAGAAAGGATATGGTGAAACTGGTACATATTTCCTCTGATATTGAGCACCAAATATCACCAATTCTCAGACTTTACTAGAAAATAAGTCACATTCCTCAATTTAGAATTTATTCAGATACAAATAATTACAGTTTGTGGCAATTTGGGCAAAGACAAGGTTAAAGTTCAGCTGTTGTTACATAAAAAGATTTTTATTAGGTAAACAAAATACTCAAGGGCTATACCTTTAGTTACACATTAAAAAAGGACAACTTGACATTCTATTTTTAAGTATAAGTCAATTCAATAATAAAAAATTTGTCAAAACTTTATCCTGATAACAGAAACGGAGACTGAAATTCATTTCTTTATTATATATACTGGCTATTTCTAAGAGGTAGAAATGCCTTTAGTTTGAAAAAATAATACATCTACTGCCCATATCTTTAGTAAGTTTGAAAGCCCTGAACTACTCAGAAATTATGATGTTTTGGGGGACAACAGGAAAAATGAGCTCTAGGGAGAGCATCAGATGCTAAGAGCAACACCATTCATCCTTTCCACTGGACACAGGAAATTCTGAAAATGTACAATGTAGAGTCCATAACGTGGACTTGTCTTCCAGCTTAGCACCCAAGGATTCATTCACATCCATTTCTAACAGGAGTAGGAGAACTAAAAAAAAAAATGTGTAAGCTATTTCTCCAAATGCTCTAGTATACAAACAATATTGCTATAGTTTCCCAAAAGGAGGGGAGAGACATCCTCCTTGTATTTTATAAAGGACCTCTTTGTGACTCCACAAAAACATGATATAGAGAAGTGTTGTAGGAGTTGGTGCCTAGCAGAAAGGAAGCAGGACAGTAGCCTGTTGTATTTGTGTGCTCATTGAGAGTGGTGTTATCCAGACAAAACCGAATCTGTGCCCAGGAAAAGTAGATATGACAGCCAAGGAATGATCCATGCCACCTGGAGAAACTGCAGTAATAATCAGTTGAAGGAACAGATCTAGCACAGAGTGGGTGAGGCAGGTAAGAAGAAAATGGTCTATGTCCACTAGTAAACGACTGGATTTGGTTATAAACACATGTCACAACCCTTGTAGGCTCCCCAAAGTAAGTGTGATTGAAAGAGGGCTTTGCAAGGGGGTTCAGTATTAACAGGGGGCAAAAGATAGCCAAACGTGGGTTACTCATCCTTCTTTTTTCCTGAACTTCAAATATCTTCCAGGAAGACCACATAAAATTTAGGCCAGTTAATGGAGTAAATAAAACAAATTTGTGAAAATCTACAATAATAACTAGATGAACAGGGTAGGAGAGGACCAAGTCAATACCCATTTTAGTCATGTCTTGCTATCTTCATACACTGTGCAGCTTTTAAAAACACCTTTAAACATCTTGTATCTTACTCAAGAATGCTACTAGTTAAAAAGAATGTTGATAATTTCCTGGTTTGAAAAATCTGCCTGGAGGAAGTAGTCAAGACTGAGCTTGTATTATTCAAATATTGTATTAGTACATAAATAGCTGTTTTGAAGTAGGGAAGAAAAGAATTTCAGAAGAATGCTGGATTCTGAATTTGGGGAAGGAGGTGTAGGCAAGGATTGATAAAATAATGAAACAGCAGGTAGCTATCAAAGGAAGATGAGAAGTGTTGCCCCACTCAGTGCCCTTGTGCATTTTTCTGGGGGGGTAAAATCAATGCATGTGACAGAACTAGAACAACCCTCCTTGTGCAGAGGGAAAAGGAATGAAACAATGTATTAATTTTAAAATATAGCAAATTATCTCACTATTGAACAAGAAAAAAATTACCCAAATGAAAAGAATAGCAGACTGAAAAATCCTGAAAAAAATTCACCATAATTTAATTTTTCATTTTTTAAAAATATTTTTAATTTTTACAATTTTCCGTTTATATATATAAGGGAGTTGATGTCAGTTTCAGATATCTCAGAGGCAATTCTGAATCCAAATTTCTAGTCTCCATGACAGAACAAATAGCATCATTGAACTTGACCTAAATTTAGGATGATCATTCTCCTGTATGGAGGAGAACCTATGATAGCTCAAAGTTTGAGGACAAAGAAGATGAGAGGATCCTAGAAAGCCCTCATTTACTTTCTACTTTCATCCTCAAAAAATTTCAACATTTACGGGCTAGGGTTGTGGCTCAGTGGTAGAGCACTTGACTACATGTGTGAGGCACTGGGTTCAATTCTCAGTACCACACATAAAATAAAGGTTCATTGACAACTAAAAATCCAAATTCCTCAATAGGACACCCATAGCACAAAAGTTAATAACTAGAATCAACAAATGGGACTTACTCAAACTAAAAAGTTTTTTCTCAGCAAAAGAAACAATAAGAGAGGTAAATAGGGAGCCTACACCCTGGGAACAAATCTTTACTCCTCACACTTCAGATAGAGCCCTAATATCCAGAGTATACAAAGAACTCAAAAAATTAGACAATAAGAGAACAAACAACCCAATCAACAAATGGGCCAAGGACCTGAACAGACACTTCTCAGAGGAGGACATACAGTCAATCAACAAGTACATGAAAAAATGCTCAACATCTCTAGCTGTCAGAGAAATGCAAATCAAAACCACCCTAAGATACCATCTCACTCCAGTAAGATTGGTAGCCATTAGGAAGTCAAACAACAACAAGTGCTGGCGAGGATGTGGGGAAAAGGGTACACTTGTACATTGCTGGTGGGACTGCAGATTGGTGCAGCCAATTTGGAAAGCAGTATGGAGATTTCTTGGAAAGCTGGGAATGGAGCCACCATTTGACCCAGCTATTCCCCTTCTTGGTCTATTCCCTAAAGACCTAAAAAGTGCATGCTACAGGGACACTGCTACATCGATGTTCATAGCAGCACAGTTCACAATAGCAAGACTGTGGAACCAACCTAGATGCCTTTCAATAGACGAATGGATAAAAAAATGTGGCAGTTATACACAATGGAGTATTACTCTGCATTAAAAAATGACAAAATCATAGAATTTGCAGGGAAATGGATGGCATTAGAGCAGATTATGCTAAGTGAAGCTAGCCAATCCC